TTTTTTTTTTAAGTTTAGGCAACCATTTGACAATGATATGATCACATATTCTAACAAAATTTTAATCAAATTGGTATTACATCACTTAAAAACTTCATTTAGTATGGTTGTGATTTTGAGTTTTGAGTTTTTTATTTCGATTTTTAAAATTCAAACAATCAAATTTAACAATCAAAAACTAAAATTAAAAATTAAAATTGGCAACTTATTAGGTATCAATACTATTTATTAAATTTTATTGCCATTAAAACTATTTTTTTTTAAAAAAAAAAAAGAACTAAAATTTTATTAGTGTTTAAATAACTTTTCTATTTATCAACTAATTTTAATATTTTCATTCTTAAATTTAATTTCAAATTGTGTTCTTATTTGGAGATTTCAATATTTTCTTCTTCAAATTAGAATAGTGATTGTCCATTTACTTTTCATTATTAGCTAAGAACTAAAAACTTGATAAATTTAAATTAAAATCATTTCTTTATCTACAAAATAAACAAAATTGAAAAGTCTTATTTAAGTCTAATTTGAATTTTATGTAATACAAACTCTTTTAGATTGCATTCTCTTGTATGACTCAGTGACAGCCACGTTTCTCTAAAATGAAAAGTAAGTAGAACGCATTTCAACTCGCAGATCGAGTCTTATATTAAACTTTTCTCGAATAGATATTAACTTAACACTATATTTTTTTCTTGACAAAAAAATAAAAATAAAAACTCTTTTAAATTAAGTCATTATATAAAATTCAAGCTTCGACATATTAAATTTTTAATTTAAATTCACAATTAATGTCATTGTATTATTTATTTTTTTTTTTAATTTCAAATTAATAGATCTATAAAACTTATATTGAATAATGGAATTTGCCCTTTTTATAAAAAAAAATTCTTTCCTTCAAAAACTAAGAAAGAATTTATTAAAAATTGCTCAACTCTTCACAAAACAAAAAATAAAGAAATCAATAAATATAAACTTTGAGCGAAATTTCCTATGTAGCAGGGTAAGGACCGCTAGTAAAATTTTAAAAGTAATATCTAAAACTTTAAAATTAATTAATATCTAGAATTTTTAAAATTTTATTTTAAAATGTTTTAATCTTCCAAAATCAAAATAAAAAACTTAAAATTATAATTATACTAAATAGAACCTTAAATTTTAAGTTAAAGCTAGAAATTCAAACCCCCCTCAAATTTATCAACAACGTGATCACACATGTATTATTCAATATCCACTATATATTGCAATAATTATTGATAAAAAAATATTGAAGTAATTTCATCCACGCAACCTATTTTTTGAACATAAACCGAAACACGTGATGAATATAACATTTCCGTTGTTCATTTGTGTTGCATCTTAGTTTTAATTTGTGGGTTAAGAACAAAAAAAGTGGGTAACCCTGTATTTCGTCATTTACTTGCCGACATGAACCACATTTGGTGTTCCATATTCACATTTTATATCTCTAATCTCTTGTATAGAAGACGTTTAATTGGTTTGTTTCCTAGTGAAGCTTTTAGACTCGGCATTTTGGATTTCCTCACGTTCAATTCCGTCCATTCCTTTTTGGCTTTTAACGGGTAAGGAAAAATTAATTTATGGGAGAATATAAAATAAAAGCGAGAAAAACTATTTGGCATCCAAAGTTACAAAGATTTTATGTTTGAGTCTCACCATATATAGTGTAACGAATTATATGGTTAGATTTCGATTTCAATTGTACCATCGAAACAACAAAAAACTAATAATAATAAAGGTGATAAACTCTTTGCATTTTTTTTGTTTTTGGAATGACCTAGTGTAATTGGTTTTTTAAGATAATATAGTTATAATACTATGTAAAGTTAATAATTTAAATAACTCAATAATAATTTGTTTTAAGTGAAAATAAAAAATTTTGAATTTGCGTTGTAGGTGAGGAGGATTAAAGGATGAAAAAAAAAATATCTCTCATTGTGTAACTTAAAATGAAAGAAAAATATTAAGTATGATTGTAAACTTACAATAATTATTATATCATGATATGATTGATTTTTTTATTTAAAAATATATTCATAATATTATATATATTTATTTTTATTTTATTTTATTTTATTTTTTTTGAATATTTTTATCATGGGCCGGTTCGAACCGTTACCTGGAGGAAGGGGGTATGAATCTTACAAACGTGGTTAGAACCACTTGGTCCGAAGGCCAGGTTCATTATATATATTTATTTAATTATATATCATAATTATAACTTAATATAGTACTATATGTCATTATAACTATATATTATTATCGTGCAAAAAATATGTAAATTTCGGAATGGAGGCCAGCTTCTCATTCTCCCCAAAGAACATGGAAATTTTCTGTAGAACACCTTTCGGCAACGACATTGAAAACATTTTTTTGATTTCCAAAAGGGTATTTGACTTTGGAAAGAACAATATTTCCAGAAAAGGAAACTCAGCCTGCTAAAGAAAGCACAGAAAATGCTTAAATTTGAAGAGAAGACTCTCCAAAGCAAACACGGATTGATTTTGTCTAAGGTCAAGCGTCAACGTGGTGGGGATGGCCTCCCTTCTTTCCCCCTTTTTTTGTTTTTTTTTTTTTTGTTTTGGGTCTTCCCTTCAAATTTCAGTCACTTTAGTATGTTTTCAGGCGATTTAACCTCTCCAACGAATTTACTAATCACATTTTGACTTTACACATAATTGTTAGATATTAATTTTATTTAGTATTTTGTACGTGTATTTTAAACATCAGCACAATAATATAAATATAATGGCCTGCCATTACCTAACATGTCACAGAAGCAAAATTTCAATAGAAGAATAAAAAAAAAAAGATGGATTCTTTTTACTGAGTTTTTGGTATGTTTAGTTTAGGAAAAACAAATAAGAGGGGAAGAAAGGGAAATAAAAGGATATCGCATCCTAAACTCTGGATGAATTTCTAAAATTCTAACCTTGAGTTCAAACCTTTGGCCCAAGGGATAGTCTCAAGTAGACAGTTTCTATGAAGCGTAAGCATCCCAAAAGGTAATGGAGGAATGGAAAGGTTTCCTTGAGCTAGACAAAGATTGGTCCTCGAGTGCAAAGACAAAAGGGAGCTTGATTGCAAGACCTACCCATTGAGCAAGGACAAAAGTCAATCTTACAGATTAAACAATGTTGAGTGAAATGGTTGTTGCTTAACGGATAAAAGTTACTCTGAGGACAACAAACTGATCTTCCCTAAGAGCTCACATCAACAAGAAGGTTCAACCTTTTAATGTCAGCTCTTAACCACCTAGGTTTGTAGTATGTTTCAATGGTCAATCTATTTGCCCATTAAAGTAGTGCATGAGCTGGGTTCAAAATGTTGTAAGATAGTTCAGTCCATATATGTTGTGGACATCAGAGCACTAAGAG